GCACCGTGTCCAGTCTCCCCATCCCATCCGGCCCTCCTGGACCATGGAGCAGGGGGTCTCCATCCCCATCCCCATCCCCATCTCCCCCCCCGTATCCCCGCACCCCTTACCCGAGCACAGAGCGGGGCGAGCAGGCAGGCGAGCAGGAGAGGGGGGCCCATGGCGGAGCGGGGCTCAGTCCGGCCGCCAGCCCCGAGCTAAAATAACGGCGGGGCTGGCTGAGTGACAGCACATGTGCTGTGGCGGGCCGGGCCCCCCCGCACCGGCACCTGCCCCGCCGCCCCCGGCCGCCAGCCTGCACCCGCAGAGGGGCCCGACGGGGCGGGCGCGGGGGGCTCGGGGAGGGACCCGCAGCCCGGGGCTGGGGCCGGGGGAACGGGGGGGGGAAGCGGCCCCCGGGGCAGGGCGGGAGGGAACGCGGCAGCTGTCGCGGGGCGCAGCCCGGGGATGCCGCGACGGGGCGGGAGGGAGGGAGGGAGGGACCCGGGCCCGCTGTCCCCGGCACGGCTGGACCGGCACCGGCACCGGCACTGGGACCGGGACCGGGATCAGGACGGGGGGTTCTGCCCGCAGAGCTCCACATCGAGGAGAGCTCGCTCCGGCCACCCCCGTTCGCGGCCCACGGCGGGGCCGGGGCCGGTTCGGGCTCGGGAGGGGAACGGCAGCGTCCCGCGATCTCCCGGCCCCGGTGGGCTCACACGGGACGGGGCTGGGCCTGGGATGCTCCCGGAGCCACAGCGAGGCCCCGGGCCCCGCTGCTCCCTGAGCTCCCCGGGACCGGTCCCGGTGCCGCTTCTCACACTCGGGGACACCCCGGCGCTGGCCCCGAGCCCCGGGGCTATTCCCAGCGCTGTCCTCGGCCCTCGGGGCCGGCCCCGGTGCTGCCCCTGAACCCCGCTGATAGTCCCGGTGCTGGCTCCGGCCCCCGGTGCTGGCTCCGGTCCTGTCCCGACTCTCGCTGCCGGTCCCGGCGCTGAACCCCGGTCCCTGGGACCGGTCCCTGTTCTGTCCCTGCCCCCCGTTGCCAGTCCCGATGCTGCCCCCCTGACCCCCAGCGCCGGGGCCGGTCTCAGCGGCACCTCGAGGCCACGGCACCAGGTGGCAGCATCGTCCCGGGCACCGGCACAGGCACCAGCACCGGCGGTCCCCGCTTCCCGCGGTGCCGCAGTGGGGAGCGCTCCGCGCCCGCCGGCCCCGGGCCCCTGGGGCTGCAGCGGGACTGAGAACCAGCACCCCCCGGGCCCGGTGGAGGGGTCGGGACGGAACCGAGCCGTGGGCCTGGCACGGGGACACGGGTGGCATCACCAAGACCCCGCTTGGCTGCTGTGGGCACCCCATCGGAAATAGGTGTCCCCGGTGTCCCCCCTGTGCGGCATCGTTTGGAGCTCGGTGGGCAGCGTGGGCCCCCGAGACAGGGGTAGGGCACAAAGCGTGGGAAAAAGGACGAGGGACGCGGGACATGGGATGCGGGATGTCTCCTGCCCATCCCCAGAAGCTGAACGGCAGTGGTGGGGCTGTCGGTGCCCCCAGGGGCATGGACCCGCACCATGAACGGGTGAGCGTGGGGCACCAGTGACCCCAGGCAGTGGCACTCGCTTGCCTGTCTGTCGGATCCCATCTGCCTGCCCTGCTCTCCCTGCCACCCTGCATCAGTGTCACGGTGAGGAGCTGCACCGGCAGCGCTGGCCGGGGGTCTTGGTGTCTGCCCCTGACCCTAACGCGCCGTGGCAGCGGGGCGGCCGAGCAGATGTTCCCTGCCACCGGCACCGCGGCGTGGGGGCACGGCTGTGGCAGACGTGACGGGCTCTGACAGGGCACCGGCCCCAGCTCGTGCCGGCCATGGGAGCTGCATGGTGCCCACGGCACTGCTCCGGCTGCAGCACCAACCCCCCTGAACCTCTGGCACGAATGGAGCTCACACTGGGGTGCAGCGGACCCACAGATGCTGGGTCCAAACCGTGACAGCCATGGCCTATGACCCCCTTGCCATGCTGGGTCAGAGAACAGCTCACCCTATGTTGGAGGGCCCCCTTCCCACCTGATCTGCCTGGGTCAGCGCAAGAGCTGCGGGTGTTGAGACCTCCACCGTGGGTGCCGGGACCAGTCATTGTGGATGCAGTGGGACCAGTTGTAACCCCATTGCAGCGCCTGGGGCATCTGGGCGCTGTCCCATCCCCACTAGGCCCAGTGATGGGGAGCGCTGAGCAGGCAGGAGCACAGAGCTGAGCAGCGAGGTGCCAAACGCCAGCACAGCAGCCATAAAGCCACTGGAGCTTTGTTTTTTATATGGCAATAAAAGATAATGTCAGCCATAAAGCGCAAGAGCAGGTTCCAGCATGCTGAGCCTGGGGCAGGGGAAGCTGCTGGGAGAAGCTGAGGGGAGCACCGAGGTGTGTGTGGGGGTCCCTCGGGACCCCCCAGCAAGGCAATACCTCACTTGAGGGGAGCGGGTCCCTGTGTGCCCCAGGGCTGGCTGCAGGCAGCAGGAGATGGCCAGCATCAGCGCTGGGGAGGGTGTTAGAACCAACCATTAAAGATGCTACTTCGGGGTGGTGTTGTTGTTGTTTTAATGGTTTTATTGCACGGTGTGGGGACAGGCCTGGCAGGCCTTAATGAAGGAGATTGATGGCTTAATAGCCTGTAGCCATTACGGGGTAATTGAATGGTTGTGTACATATGATCAGACCGTCAATGCGGACGTGGCTCGCAAGCGAAGCACCTGGAGCTGTGGGGGGGTGCACGCAGCACCCCCTGTGTCCCTGAGGGATGCAGAGCAGAGCCCATGGCCTTGAGGACACCCATCTGCCCCCGAGGCCCTGGCTGTGTTGGTGCCCTGGGGCTGCATCCAGCGGTACAGGGATAGAGCAGGTCTCCAGGTTCACCCAGTGGTCACCAAAACCCATCTCTGTCCATCTCAGCTCCCAGCGTGGGCTCGGGGGCACCATACCGAGGTGCTTTAATGAGGCTTCTAATTATCCCTGTCTATAGGGATGAACAGTGCTGGGGGAGTGGAGGTGTGGATCATGGGTCCACCATGGATGGCAGCCCCAAAGTGGGGGGACCACCCTCCTGGCCACCAAGGAGAGACCGTGGCAGAGCCGGGTCCCTGTGCTGAGGTGTGAGTGAAGCTGCTGCTTCCAGTGTGTGACAGCCAGGTGTTTTACAGTATTTGCTACCTGTGATCATCCATCAAAGCAATCGATAGCGTTCCTGCAGAGTTTTATTAATGATCTTGTCACCGGGCTGGTGCTGGGTGCCTGGGGTTGTCGAGAATGATAGATCATTAAGAGCTTTTGCTGCTATTTATTCTCCAGTGACCTTGTCTCTCTCCATTGTTGCTTGCTTAAGAGTTATGAATGTGAGACATGATAATTTGATATTGATCTATTCGGTGAGTTAAAAAATTTACTGCATCGTTGATGTTTTAACAAAGGATCCGCTCGGTCCCTCCCACAAACCAGTGAGGGCTGATGGTGCTCGGCTCCATGCACAGTGGTGAAGGGACATGATGGGTGCTGTGGGACAGTGAGGTACGGCTGCGTGAGCTCCTGTCCTGACCCCTTCTGAACCTGAGGTTCCAAACTCCAGGAGCTGGCACTGAGGTGGTGGATGCTGCTGTGGGCAGGGTACCGGGATGCACAGAGTGGGTGCATGGCTGGACCTGTCCGTGCAGGTTGGCTGGGGTGGAGGGACAGCAGTGGAGAAGACTCCATCCGTATCCTCTTCCCTTTTTCACCATCCCTGTCCCATCCCTGCTCCCTCCGTCCTCTCCATACCCTCTCCACATTCACTCCCTGATGTTCAGGGCTCCACTGACCCTCACAAAGGGATTTGATGCCATCACCTCTGCTCCCTGTTCCTCTTGTCCTCCCCCGTGCTTCCAGGGCTATATCAGCTGATGAGGGAACATGGGGCTCCCTGTCAGCCCCTTGGCACCAACAGGACCAGAGCAGCATCCTGCTGACATGCTGCCTCCCCAGTGCACTGTCCCCACGGCCACCATTCCCTGCTGATGTTATTGACCCTCAGTGCCCACTGCCATGTGGCCAGCAGCTCATGCATGGAGTCAAAGGGGACAAACTCCTGTGTATAAAGGAAGGGTTTATCCATACTGCCTGTCCTCTAGGACATCAGTGACCTTCAGACATGGGCACTGGTGCCAGCACACAGATACAGGCGTGAGGGCACATGCAGTGTCATTCATGCTGCACCAGCTCCCCAGTGCTTCCCACACCCTGCTCAGCTCTGCCCTCACCCTGTGCTGGACCATATGCCCAAAACCGAGCCCGTCTCCTGGCCACAGTCTTCCTCCCCATCTTCCTGGGCTCTCTGCATATGATTTGATGCTTTAAGGCTCTCTTATCACATGGGGGTCACTGCAAGCTCCTTGAAGCTATCCCTGCCACAGTCTTTCCCCCTCTGTTATGGGATGTATGTCGCAGGTGGAGGAACGACCACTGTCCCCCTGGTGGTGGCACCTCTGCTGTCGCTCCATGTGGGACCCCCTGGGTGGGGGATGCACTGAGATGTTACACACAGCTGGTAGTTACTTGTGGGTTTGTATTCGTCCTTCACTTCTGCTGGGAAATGCAGGCAGTGCTTGATGGAGGAGGGAGCTGGATGGTACCCATTTGTGGCAGAGGATGGGGCATCCTGTGGAGAGCAGGATCCCATCAGTGACAGGCAGGTTGGAACCAGATAGATTAAGGTCCTTTCTAACCCTAGCTATTCTATGATGGTGTAATTCTATAACCCGCTCACTCTCTGGGGCTGTTCCTCTCTATAAACCATGTTCCTGAGTCCGTGGGAAAGGGCAGAAAAGATGCCAAATTACCAGGCATCCCTGCAGCTGTCTGAAGGCAAGAGTTTAACTTGAAGAGTCCTTTTATATGGGCATGAGTCACACATGGCCTGAGGAAGAGCTGTAATGGCAACGGGGACCAGTACCCATGAGGAAGGTGGCCTTGCAGCTCTGGCTCAGATCAGCCAAAGGGACTATATGGGATGAATCCTGCTTTCATTGGACTTTATTCATGGACCAGACTGCAGTGAGTCCAGACCCGCATCTGCTAATCACTGCTGGCACCTTGTGAGTGCCTCTGTGGAGGGAGAATGGATGTGGCCGAGGACCAAACCTCCCCAGGCTCCCAGTCCTGGCCCCAGGCCGTGCACTAGGCTGGGTAGAAGCGCTGCAGAAGCTCCTTCTTGTTGACTTTTCCCATCTGGTTGCGCGGGATCTCCTCCACCACGATCAGCTCGGTCGGGATGGCGTACGGTGCCATGATGTCCCTGCAACGCACAAGTGCAGTGTGGAACCAAGGAGGAGCACTTCCAGCCCATCCCAAGCCCTCCCAAACGCCAGTGGACATGTGGAGGGTTTGATCTGGGACCCTGTGTCCTGTCATGGTGTACAGCTGAGCTGCCCCAACCACAGCTGGACCTGGCTCATCTAGGGATGGACTCAGTGGTCCTGGGGTAAGGGTTGGACTTGGTAATCTGAAAGGGTTTTTCCAACCTGGTTGATTCTATGATTCTGATTGCTGTGTTTTGGGCTGGCCATGTGCCCTGTTACTGGTACCCAAGCTCTATCTGCTGCACTCAGCCCCACTGGTAAGGGATGGCATGGGAAAACTGTGCGTGCAGCATGTGTTCCATGCAGATGGATGCTGCACCCCACGTGTTCCTGGTGCCAGTCCCTGAGGACCAAGACTGCAGGTGGGTCACGTCCCCAGGTACATGCGCTGGTGACCTGCCAGCGGCTCACAGTTGTGTGCTCCAGCCCATGGGGGGGTGCTTCCTGCACTGGGAAGGAGTCTGAGCACTGAGCATCGTCCCCGTGCCCTTTGCAGAACACGGAGGGGGGCTCTCCTGCCTTCTGCTGCCTGTGTGTCACCAACCTGGGGCTGTGCCCAGCTCCGGCAGCATCTTGGCACTGGTTCTAATGCGAGATGCCAAGTCTGCTGAGCCCTTCAACCATCGCCCAGCCCTCCTCCCCCTGCCACCAGCACCCCCTGCCATATGGATGCCTCTAACTCAGGATGGCGCCTGTCGCCGGGAAGCACGATTGGAGGCAAAAGCTGCAAAATGAATCACTCTGAAGAGGGACATGTGTCTCCTGCCAGGGAGTGCGAGAAAAGGGGCCAAGCGAATGTTAAGTGACATAAAAAATAAAGGGGAGAGACAGGGCGAGAGGGAGAGGCAGGAGGGGGGAGCCGGAGCGGTGCCTGGAGCCGGCGCTGGGCAGGGAGCAGCAGCCGGGGAGGCAGACACCCCTCGGCCCTCCAGGGGCTGTTATTTCAAGGGCACCTGCCCTTGCTCTGCATGGGGAAAACAGGGTCAGGTCTATCCATAGAGCTGGGGATAGTGATGGGAAGAGACATGCAGGGACAAGGGGAACACCCTGAAAGGGGAGCACATGAGGGGCCGAGTGCAACCCCTTGGTCTGTGCCAGGGACACCAGGGTGACCCACTAAGCACAGCCACGGGTGATGGATGAAGGGATCTGCTGGGGTCACCAGTGTTGCTGCCAGGAGGCTTAGGAATGAGTAACCACCATGCAGCACAGTGAAGCATCCCTTCCCTGCTCTCCATCAATCCTGCCCTGTGCTGAGGCTGAGGAGGGTCCTGGACGGAGAACCCCAGAGCAACAGACCCTGTATGGACCAGGACAGGCTGAGTCTGGCTAAGAAGGGGCAGGACATTTAGGAAATTCATCAGCTTCATCACTGTGAGGGTGCTGAGGCGCTGGCACAGGGTGCCCAGAGAAGCTGTGGCTGCCCCATCCCTGGCAGTGTTCAAGGCCAGGTTGGACACAGGGGCTTGGAGCAAGCTGCTCCAGTGGAAGGAGTCCGGGGTTGGAGCTGGATGAGCTTTAAGGTCGCTTCCAACCCAAACCAGTCTGGGATGACTGAGATCCAGCATAAGCCATGGGCTGCCCTTCACGGAGCAGGAGTCCCAGGTAACCAGCAGCCCGAGGGGTAAGGTGTGTGCACAGTGCAGTGACACCCTGGTGGGGGCTTGCCCCCACCTGCCCCATCAGCCATCCCTATGGCTTTGGTTTCTTTGTTTGCTTCTCTTCCCCCAGTACGTAACTGTTCCATCAGAGCAGCAGCGGCCAGCCAGCATCTTCCTTGCGTTTGCTAAATCACAGTCCCCCAACTGTGATTTTTGCAAATCCAGGGGAAATCTTTAATTGGCTGCTGCGCAGCCCCTGATGAAACAAGTGCTCCTGCCGCTTGCAAAACAGCACCGACAATATCCGCAGCCCGAAGGAGGGAGCCGCCAGGAAAAGGATCTGCTATTAAATATTTTGCTAATGGAATATTAGTGATAAACCCACTGATTCTGCTTCCTGGCTCCCACCTGCTTACGCTCCCGTGAGTGATGCCCAAAACTTCGGCACTGGCTGCTCCCTGATTTGAATGAGGAGGTGAAGGTTTCCACGTCGAACGCTTGCAGGTGGCTGCTTTGTGCCATGCTCATTGGTACTGTGATGACTTCAAGCGAGATCAAGGAGCTTTGGTGTCTCCCACACTCCCTAAACTCTACAGGAGAGGTCTCTGGGGTTTGCTGGGACTGGGCTGGCTTCCAGCAGGTAGGAAGCAGGAGGGAGCAGTCACAGCAGCACTGGGGAATAGCTGAGCAAATGTTCTTGCTGCTGAGAAAACACGAAGCTTCCCCTGCTCTGGTGGTTGTTCCGTGCCATCTGCCAGTGTCTGGGCTCAGGGCTGCAGGGTAGGAGCCACTCGGCTGCGCTGTGCATGTTGTTTATCAAGGCGCTTTTGGGGTAAGAAAGAGGCTCATGTACTTCCCTTATCTCACGTGCTTGCTGACCCGGTTGGAACTGTGGTCTCTTCTGTATCCCCAGAGCCACTGTGTCACTGCTGCCCATCCCATCCCTTCATCCCCCTGCCGACCTGTCTATGACGAGGATGCTGCGAGCTTTGGGCCTGCTCTTCCGCTCACCAAGCACTGCCCTGTGGCATCTTACCTGGCCCAGTCCTTCAGGTCCTTCACAGAGAGCATCTCCCCCTTGCGCAGCTGCACGACAGCACTGACCCGCTGGCCCCACACCATGTCCGGAGGTCCGATCACAGCCACGTCTGCAGAGAGATCACAGAGAGCCTGAGAAACCCGAGTGAATTTGGGGGTCAGGGTAGGGCAGAAGAGGGGTTCAGCCCTGCAGTGCTTGGAGGAAAATTCCATGGGGTGTTAGCACAGGGAACCACTGCGTGCTTTTGTGCTGACACAAGAACAGGGCTTTTCACCAAGGGAAAGGTAGAAAGCTCAATGGTTCGGGCTATTTAAGAGTCAACAGGGAGGAGTATGATGTTCAGAGTGGCGTGGAGCCGGGGGCACTGCTGCTATCCCCTCGTGCAGGGTCACACACAAGGGCAGGACAGATTTAATTATAGTCTCATTTCCAAAATCAGATGGGAGCTGCTGCTGGCTCAGCACCCCGCCGCAGGCTACGCGGCTTCAGCCCCAGGACACAGCTAACACCGGGGCCCAGCCTCACTAATGGGGTGGTTGGGAAAGAGCCTCCAGGCATGAGCCCTCGGGCAGCCTCACGTCTGCATCCACAGAGCCCTACAGCCGGGCTCACACCCCCCCTTCCTCGCAGCACACAGGGAGCGTACCTGTGATGTGCGGGTGCGCGAGCAGATGACGCTCCACCTCCAGAGCGCTGATTTTGAACCCCCCGTTTTTGATGATGTCGACTGAGGTGCGGCCCTTGATCCAGTAAACACCGTCCTTGTACGCTGCTGTGTCTCCTGAAAAGCAAAGCAGGATCTGTCAGAGGCCATCCCCTTGCTTCTCTGCTTTTCCTGACACATGGATGTGATGCTCAGGTGATCACAGAATGGTCTGGGTTGGAATGGACCTTGAGATCATCCAGCTCCAACCCCTGCCATGGGCAGGGACCCCTTCCACTGGAGCAGCTTGCTCCAAGCCCCTGTGTCCAACCTGGCCTTGAGCACTGCCAGGGATGGGGCAGCCACAGCTTCTCTGGGCACCCTGTGCCAGCGCCTCAGCACCCTCACAGGGAAGAGCTTCTGCCTTGTATCCAACCTGAACTTCCCCTGTTTAAGTTTGAACCCATCACCCCTTGTCCTGTCACTACAGTCCGCAATGAAGAGTCCCTCCCCAGCACCCCTATAGCCCCCCTTCAGATACTGGAAGGCTGCTATGAGGTCTCCACACAGCCTGCTCTTCTCCAGGCTGACAGCCCCATCTTTCCCAGCCTGTGATGCTCTCAGCAGGCACTGAGCCCAGCTCCCTGTGAGCTACACTCAGCCCTACAGTTGAGAGCATCTCTGCAGAGACTCCCATGGATGGGGTATTAGACTTCCTCACACAACAGCCTGCTCCCAGGGTCACAGAGAGAGCAGACAGCCATTGCTTTACCGTGGAGGGAAAGGGAAGAACAAGGCTATGAAGCCAGAAGTCATTTAATGTGGAAGCAATGGAAATGGGAGCCATCGCTGCAGGTGAATGTTTCCCCAGCACACTCTCAACATGGACCAAAGGACAAGCAGGCTCCAGCTCAGCCCCTTCCTCATCTTTCTGGCAATCACCAGTCACAAAGACCTCAGTTGTAACGTCCCAGCAGGGCATAACTCCTCCTGGATCCCTGGCATCACCAGGGCTGCTCATCCCCCATCGCATAGACCCCAGCCTCTTCCTCCCAGTAATGAAACACCCTCCTCCATCAGCCCATGAAATCCACAGTGGGTCTTTCCCAGCAGCAAGTTTGTGCTCTGACCACAGCCACCAGCCCCTGCCATCCCCTGGAGCAGCCTTGCCCTGGGCACTGCCAGCTGGGAGCACCCACTGCTTGCCAAGGGGGCTTCCCTCCTCTCCTGCATGACTCCTAATAGAGGACTCCTAATAGAATAAGGTTGCAGATGATGTTGGGACGATGAGAGTGTCCTAAGCAACACGTTGGATCTGACCTGTCCTTTCTGCAGGCGTGTGGCAGGTGTGATCCAGTAATTAGCTGCTTGAGCCAACGCTGGGAAGATTGAGGAGAGAGGTCATGTCAGCACAACCTGGCTAAATGCTTAACAAGCTGGTGCACTTTGATAGCTACTTAAGATGATTACTCACATCCTGCTAATAGAGCCTTTGCCAACCGGTGGGTGAAGAGGGGGGGTCTGGGGACCTCACATTTCCATTTCAGAGCCTTGATGGTAGCACCAGGGGGGCCCTTAGCTCTCCCCTGCACATCAGTCTCCATCCTCTCCTTAATGATACGTGCTGCCTTTGTGTCCACACACCCGTCCCGCTCCCCGCTGCAGCTTCACTCACAGACTCATCTCATTGCTTGCTGGAAAGCCTCAGCATGGAGGTGACACAGAAATTGGCAGTGAGGAAAAAGCAGCTCCCAACAATGCAGGGTGAAGCAGCACTGCTGGGGCTGCAGTGTTTGCCTTGCCCTCCATCCAGCACATGTTCAAAGTATGGTGAATGAGGACAGGATGGGGTCCTGGACACCAGCATCCCTGTGGCTGGGAGCCCATTGAGCCAGGAGGATGCGCTGGACCTCTGGTTTGAGGGGAGGCTGTGGAAGGAGCACTCTGAGGACACTGGGATGGGGACTTCATTGGGTGGCCAAGGGAAGAGCATCCCCGGGGCCAAGGACTGTGCAGACCCCAGTCCTCCCCTTCAGGGACGGGGACTCTGCTCTCTGGGGGGCTCAGTGTCACCCCAGCAGAGGTGAGCATCCCCACAGCGTTCACCCCACTTTGCTCCCCTTTTTCCCTCTGCTCCTTTTCCCCCATCAGCGCTGCGTTGCCGTGCTCCCAGCACGTTTCTCATGCCAGGTACCGCAGCACACGCCACAAAACCCCGTTTCCAGCTCACCTCTGGCACGCCGCAGATCTCCCTCGCAATGTGGTGTCTGCACAGTCAGAACCAGTTGTGAAATCTGGGCTGCTCCCCAGAAGAGCCGCGTCCCTGCTCAGCTGGCACATGCCAGAATCCCGAGCAGCTCGTCCTGCTCAGTTCAGCCAGGGAATGATTAATTGGTGCTGTGTTTGCCTGCCTGCCTCTTGGCACTCCTGCGGATGCTGAAGGCTGTCTGGAATGTTTTAGGGTTGTGAGAGAGTTTTAAACCGGGGCTCTCTGGGTGTTTGGCTGCTTGGGTTGAAAGGAATTCATTACTGCAGTGATAAACTACCTTCCATGTCCGGTATCACTGTGGCATGTGTGACTGACACAGGACTGCAGAGCAAACGTTAACTAAAACACGGCAATGGGGGGACAAGAGCCACGAGCTTTTGGCAGGGAGATCAGGAGCTGCTTATTCATACAGAGAAGACAGGGAGAAGAGAGGGAATTCAGACCTGGTTCAATGACACACAGTTCCCATGTAGCTCTTCAGGGTTTAGGCACATGAAAGCTGCCACATTTGCATTTTCATCTTCTCCGTGATGGGGAGAATGGTCCCAGGGACAGGTCCGAGGGATGACTGGGATGTGGGGGCAGATTTCTTTGCACCAAGGTCTTGCGATGTGAAAGCTGAAGGGCTCTTTACCCGCACAGAGTCGTCACTCCCCTTATCTCTTCCTACAATGAGCAAAGACTGAATTCACATCCCTTTGTGTCCTTGGGTCTGTTGGGGACGTGTCAGCCCGAGATGATTTCTCTGGAGCTTGTTTGCAAAGTGAACTGACAGGGCAGAGCCTGGCACCAAGGTCTTGTCTCTGTCCCATTCCCACCCCCTGTACCTGGGGTCCAGGCAGAATGAGACACTCAAACGCCAGCATTGCCTGGCCTCAGAGCCCGTTTCCAGTCAGGGAAGTCTCTGTGCTTTGCCTGTGGCATTGGGATTCCAGGGCACATCTGTACCACAACAAAACACCTGAGCTGGCAGCAGCCTGAGCATTCAGAGCCTATTTGAGAATCCCTACATGGCCACTGTCAGCATCCCTGCATGGCCATCACCAGTACCCCTGTATGGCCACCACCAGCATCACTGTATGATCACCACCAGCATCACTGTATGATCACCACCAGCATCACTGTATGATCACCACCAGCATCAGTCTATGACCACCACCTGCATGGCTGTCACCAGCGTCCCCACATAGCCACCACCAGTGTCAGTGTATGAATGATCACCACCAGCATCCCTGCATGGCTGTCACCAGCATTCCCACACAGGCACCACCAGTGTCAGTGTATGAATGATCACTACTAGCATCCCTGCATGGCTGTCACCAGCATTCCTGCACAGCCACTATCACCATCCCTGCATGGCCACCACCAGCATTTCCCAAGATGTTGCCCTTCTTTATGTTCCCCCACACAACAAGGGGCAGGAGAAAGAGTCATTTCAGACTGGGCATGGAGAGGGGACCCCCTCCTCACCAGTCAGCTTCCACCCCCATGCTCCCCACAAACACCATCACAGCATCTCACACGCATCCCTGAAGCCCCGTCAGCAGCACAGCGTGACGGGTGGTTAGCGTTATTATTGTGACTATTGTGAGCTTCGGGGACGAGCTCTGTAATTTCCCCCCATCTCTTTCTTTCTGCCTCCTCTCTCCTGTCAGGGTCTTGCTGTCACTTCCCGAGCTGACAGGACAGAGCTCGCTCCAGGGGACCGCCGTCCGCCGAGGACAGCCACATTACCCTCTGCCCCGCGCCATCTGCTACCAGCCGAGCACATCAAGACAGCATGTGCTCCAGCACATCCAGTGCTCGCTGCCTCCCAGGCCAGCAGGGATTTCCCTGGCCAGGGAGACTAGTTAAAAGGATGCTGTTGTTTGCTTAACGACTCACCCCCACGTGCTGCTGCGAACAGAGCTGCGAGCATCATCTCCAACCCTAGCAATGCACTGAGGGTCAATGGCAAGGGTTGTGCTTGTCACCTCGGTGCTCCCAATATGAGTCCCTGTGCCTGGTAGTGCAGGTGTCCATAGAGGCATTGAGCTCCATCCATCCTGCCTGCCCCGGCTGTTTCTGCCACCTCCAGCAGGCTGCAGACCATGGGGCACCTCGCCCAGCAGCCTCTTAGTGCTTTGCCCATGTGGGTACCTCCTGGGCAGGCAGGGGCAACAGAGGCAATGGGGGGGATTTATGGGTGGGGAATGGATCTGTGGATCTCTCCCCCCATGAGATGACACCACTTTAAACCACATGTCTGTTGACCCTCTTTTCCAGTTGGCCGTGCCTGTGGCTCACAAGTGCTCCCAGGGAGCACAGTGCATCAGCACAGGGACAGGAGGGATGCTGTGGAAGGGTTTAATACCTGTGCGATCCTGCTCCACCACCTCTGCTTGTGTGAAATGGGGACAACCACCACTTCTCCTCCTTGGTCAAGCCTTCAAATGCCTCAGAGCAGGGCTCTGGAGCCCCACCAGCCCAAAGGTACATCTCATCCTCCTGATACAGCAGCCTCAGGCCTGTCCTGCCTCCGGAGCTGCCCCGGTCCTGCTCTGGTTTCGGGAGCCCTTTGGCACAGGAGCAGCCCTGGCAGCACACAACAGCAGGGTGAGGACATCTGAGCCCGTGCTCTGTCGCTCCCCACAGCACGGAGGCAGGAGCAGCCAGCTGCGTGGGGAAGGGGATTTTGGCTGATGAGAAGATTACGGTCTCTGACACCACATCCCCGCCTCTGCTTGCCCGGGCCACCTCCAACCGGGCTCCTTTCATCAGACAAAGCAGGCAGCAGCAGAAGCCTCCGTCGCACGTGGCTCGGCTCCGGTGCTGCGGCGCAGCTGATGCTGGCGAGGCCATGGGATTATTGTTTCCCTGACAGCAGCCG